CTTGGTTGTTTTGGGTGTTTTGAAGTGCTATATTGATCCTAGAATAAGCCTAGCCTTGTTGTAATAATCCTTGAAGTAGTTTAAGGCCTTGGAATGCTCCTTTGGGGAGTTTACGGCCAAAGGACCATATCCCCTAGAGTTTACGGCCGTAAACTCCTATGGGGTGTTGGTTTTAATTCATTTAAGGCCCTTGCACATGTAGGATAACTTCCATGTTTTTGTCTAAGGCTAAAGGGGACATTAGGCACACCTTTGTGCCTTTACTTGGAGTTTACGGCCCAAGAGGTGTTCCCTGGCCGTAAACTCCCTTTAAGGGGTGATTTTGATGTCATTTTTTCCCCATTCGATTCCTAAGTATACAAGGTTAATTATCTTAAGGCTTTAAGGGTGTTTAGGGCATACTTTGCCCTTGAAAAAGGGGTTTACGACCCAAGATCTTTCCTTGGCCGTAAACTCCTAAAACCCTATGATTTTGAAGTGTTTTGGTGTCCAAATTAACTACAAGCATTAGAGGGTAAAGGTCGTTAAGCTTTAGGGCACTTATAGCCCTTAAAAAGGGGTTTACAGCCCAAGAGATATCCTTGGCCGTAAACTCCTAAAACTAGGGTTTCTTGATTGATTTCTAGCCTCAAATGTTTATACATTAAGCCCTAAACAAGTTGTCTAACAAGGAATCGGGACTAGGAAGCCTTTAGGCTTCGTTTTGGAGTTTACACCCCAAGAACGTTCTTGGGCCGTAAGCTCCCGGATCTTGTATTTTAGACATGTAAACAATGTTATAAAGCATATAACAAACATTAAAACACATTTAGGAAAGTAGACTCACAATCCGGGATGAAAACCCGAAGATCCGTCAGAGAGAAAATGGCGTTTCTCTAGTTGGAATTGTGAATAATGAATTAATTAAATTCAGAAATCTATTTATAGTCCTGAAATATTTTAACAGAAAATATTTTTATTCCGAAAGTTGGACCATAACATTATGAAACTTGGAATGTTCAAGTTTCACAAATACAAGAGCATCCACTTTCCTGATATATCCAGAAACCTAAACCCTAATGTACACAAACTTGTTCGGACAAGTCTGAAAATCACTGAAACTGGACTAGCTTCTATTGAATAGATAATGTTCGTACAAATGGAAATTTCGGGTTGTCACAGTCCGCCCGCACCGGGCCTTCAACCCACCTGGTCCACTCTCTGAGTCTACAGTATGATTGGTCCGCCCGCATCGGGCCTTCAGTCAGCCCGGTCCACTCTCCGAGCCTCGGCACGTCTGGTCCGCCCTCGTGGGGCCTACAGCCTATTCGAACCGCTCGTTGGGCCTTCGGATTAACCGGTCCACCCTGGGTATCTTGGCCTACAACACAAAGCAGGACCCGCCTCAACCCATCTCCAGTCCAAACAACCGTGTGCACATAACATACAATCATATAACAGTCATAGTCCAACAAACCGATCAAGCAGATCACATAACATATCATTATCCTAACCAGGTTACCGACCTAACCGGTCACTAGCATAGCATCACTCTACATATCGGGAAACCGACCTTAACCAAGTCTCTAGCATATACCATCCTAGCTACCAGGATACAGACATATCAAACAATAACATAATAACCATATCCGAATCTCACTCCAAATAAAGGGCCGACCTTGGTGCCTTAGACCCTGTCGATATTGTGAGGATAACTCACCTTGCGAATGCCGATACTCTAAACTGAAGTAGCAAACTCCCAAACCACCAACTCACCGCAAATCCCGAACTAACCAACATAACAAGCATAAGCATTAGGTCAAACATACTTCCACTTATCGGAACAAGGCCAAAGTCCCAATCTCACACAAAGTCCAACATTGGCCCAATTTACCAAATTGGGTCCACCTCACCAAATGGGCCTAGATCCAATATCCATAATATTAATTGGGCCCAAAATACTCTATTCATAATTTCCAGACTTGGCCCAAACACCAACAACCCGCAATTAGCCCAACTCAAAAGCCCAAAAGAAAAATCCACAGGAGGAGTACGCAGGGCGTACCCTCCCTAGTACGCTGGGCGTACCCTCCCTGGTACGCTGGGCGTACAACAGTGATCATCGAAAGGAAATGGGGCATTGGCCCTTTACGCGGGGCGTACTCGGAGGTTACGCAGGGGCGTAACTGCGAGATCCATTAAGCCTCTCTAACCACTTAATGGCTTAAGCTCTTAAGCCCAAACTTCAGATCCAAAGGTCAAATATGATTAGAATTCATAAAGTCTCAGACTTTATCACTTGGGACGTCCTTAAGCTCTTAATCCAAGGTCTTAATCCATTAAGACCTATATAACTCATACATGGAACAACTATAGCCCTTGGGACCTCATTTTTATCACTCAAGACCTCTCCAAAGGTCTGAAAGGACAGATAATCTTGACCACATCGAACTATGCAACAAGATGAGGACTTTTGGGACAAGAATGATAACAAAGGTTCAAAATACATAGATCTATGCCATAAGAAGGTCAAGCAAGAAACTTTATACCTTAAACCAGCTCCAAAGGATGGTATTTCTTTAGATCTACAAGCTCCACACGTTCTTCTTCTTCTTTGACAACTTCACTTTTCTCCTTCAAGCCTTTCTTTTGCCAACAATAGCTTTCCAAGGTCAAACACACCCAAATATGAGAGGATATGAGATCTAGGGTTTCTCTGAGGTTGAAGACAAGCATAAGGAGGCTGAGGGGTGAACCAACATGTTCCTTATATAGTGGCTGACCCTAAAAATAGGGTTTGGGGTTTCTGAGAGTACGCTGGGCGTACTCACCCGGCTACCCGCAACCTTTCGTCCCATTACGCTGGGCGTACGTCCAGCTTACGTTGGGCGTAACCAGTCACCCTTCAAAATCACAAGCATGCATGCATGCCATGCATGCATGGGACCCTTTCCTTCTTATTCCACAAAGGACTATAAACAATGGTCAACATCGAGGCACCGCAACTCCTCCAATCTAAACCCACTCTCAAATAACTTTACATTCATACGAGGGTGACGAGAAGCCCAATACTTCCAACACATACACCGACCCGAAACCTTCTCGGATGAACTCATTTCTCGAAAGGGACCAGAATTACCTTTCTCTTAAATCTCAGGGAGTCATAATTAAACACTTGAAGAACGGGGTGTTACAAAATTCATACATGAGAATCTGGGTGTTACATTTGGGAGCGTTAATGATGAGATTGGATACATGGAAATCAACCAAAAATCATAATTTGTGGTAGTAGATACCCCTTTTCAATAGAAATTTAAATTTTATTTGAATTAGTTTGTATCGTTTACTGTGTACAAGTCTAAGGCCATCTCTAATGGTAGTTTAATGGGGAGTTGAAAGGGGAGTTTAATCCCATTAAACTCAAAATCCTCATTGTGAGTTAATGACATGGCACTCAATACAATGGGGAGTTCAATCCCCATTGAACTCCACACTCTCTCTCCTCACACACACACATAAATGATGTGGCAATCCATTAAATTGTATTGGGTTTAATGGAGTGTAAAGTTTAATAGGTAAAATTGTATGGTAGTGGAATGTACATGTTCAATCCATTGAACTCATTTGAGTTCAATGCACCGAAGATGGCCTAAGTAACAACAAATTAAGACAGACCCCTGGCAGAGGGCCAAAATTTCATGAAATTTTGATGATTTTCTGCTTTTTATACACTTTCTTCCAAACCTCGTTGTATATTCGTTCCACTTCTAAGACTTGATCGTTTTGCATTCTGATTGAGTAGAATCCAGATTAGCAACAACAATACATGTATTATATATATATATATATATATATATATATATATATATATATATATATATATATATATATATATATATAGGGTTAGGTTCATGTGAGACGGCCTAATTTTGTGAAACCGTGAGACGCATTTTTTTATTTTTTATTTTTTATTTTTAATTTTTTTTAGTTAATTTAAGTTCCGAAAATAATATTTAAAAAAAGAATTTTTTGATTTTTCCATTTATTTTGCATTTTAAAATTATTTATAGAATATGTACATTGTAATATTCTATTTAGAATATTTCATGTATTTTTCAAAAAAAATATGATTTTTTTTTTTAATTTTTTTAATTTTTTTTTAGTTAATTCAATTTCCGAAAATAATATTTAAAAAAAGAATTTTTAGATTTTTCCATTTATTTTGCATTTTAAAATTATTTTTTAGAATATGTCAGTGTAATATTCTATTTAGAATATTTCATGTATTTTTAAAAAAAAAACAGGATTTTTTTTTAATTTTTTTAGTTAATTCAAATTCCGAAAATAATATTTAAATTTTTTTTTTTTGGATTTTTCCATTTATTTTGCATTTTAAAATTATTTTTAGATTTGGTCTCACGGTCTCACAAAATTAGAATGGTCTCAAATGAACCTGAACATATATATATATATATATATATATATATATATATATATATATATATATATATATATATATATATATATATATATATATATATATTGCTTTCAAACCCAACTATTGACACAATCCAAGACCCCACTAATTTCCCATTTCTTCGTACTTGACTTGACCAAATGTGCAACTGTTTCATTCAAAGACAAGAATGATGGTTAAAGAAACTCGAGATACTAAAGACAAGACACAATTACATGGAATGACTTGAGCCAAAAGCAGTCAGGAAAATCGCCTTGTGCTCTGAATGCTTCCAAGTCACTGGAACTTGTAATCGTTGGAAATGATTCAAATCTTAGGATTCGGTGGTAACACAAATAGAAATTCAATTGCAGAAAAATTAAAAATAATGAAATATAGTTTTTACGTATTCTATAATATGCTCAACATCCACATGTATTGTTGAATTTTGACATTTTACAATGCATGGAAAATAAATGTCAACTTTTGTATCTGCCAAGTCATAAAATACCACTTCATCTCCTTTGAATGCCTCTGGAATACTTTCTTTGGGTTTGAGCATTCTTTAACGTTGTAACTCACAAATGCTACTTGAAAACGTCTCAAGCCTTGTGCAAGTACATGGATCTCCACAAATAAGCTTCTCAATACTTGTAATCAATGAGGGTAGATCTTCTTTATGAAAACATGTAAACTCAAACTCTGGCAAATGATAGTCGAGGTGAAATGGGCAACTTCCTAGGGTGAAATATAAGTTAGCTAAAGGACGAACCTCAAGTGATTCATTCACTCTACCAGAAGTATTATCCTTTATGTGAAATGAAAAATACGTAAAGCAGAAAGAGCCACTCAAGTCTAAGTCGACAAGATATTTTAGACATCCAATGAGCGGGTGAAGTTGCACCAGTTTATAACATTCTTTAAGATGTAATTCCTTGAGATTTGGAGCCATCCCAAGGTCAAGGATCCTCAACTTTGAATGAGTAATGGTGATGGATTCAAGCTCTTGGCATTCATTGGCCAAATGAAGTTCTTCCAAATCATAACAACTTGTAAAACTTAAATGCGTGAGAATCGGAGCCAACCCAATGTCAAAGGTCCTCAACTTTGAATTAGTGATTTTCAAGGACCTGAGATTTAGACATCTACTGGGCATGTGAAGATCTACCAAACCTTTGCATTCAAAAAGAAACAATTTATTGAGATTGGGAACAAGCCTTAGATCAAGGATCCTCAACTTTGAAAGCCCAATCTTGATGCTTGTCAGTATTGGACATTCGGTGATGTGGAATTCTTCCAAATCTTTGCAATCATAAAAACTCAACCTCTCAAGATTTGGACTCGGCCCAAGGTCAAAGGTCCTCAGCTTTAAACCAGAAAGCTTGAGGGATCTGAGCTTTACACATTTATTGGCCTTTTCAAGTTCTTCTAAATCATTACAATATCCAATATATAAATCCTCGAGGTTTGGAGTCAACCCAATATCAAGGGTCGTCAACTTTGAATGGGTGAGATGTAGGGATTTGAGATTTAGACATTTACCAGGCATATGAAGTTCTTCCAACTCACCGCCTTCACCTTCAAGCCACAACTTCTCGAGATTTGGGGTCAGCCCAAGTTCAAATGTCCTCAACTTTACACCATGAAGTTCGAGGGATCTGAGTTTTAGACGTTCAAAGGGCATGTAAAGTTCTACCAAACCACCATATCTTGTAATGGTTAATATCTCGAGATTTGGAGTCTGCCCAATGTCAATGCTCCTCAGCCTTGAACAACCCCTGAGGTCAAGGAATCTGAGCTGTTTAAGAACCTAAACATAAGAAAAATAACAAAATGAATACTGGTATAATAACAAAGCAATGGATTTATAGCATTATAACGCATTATGCAAAACAATTAATCAACCACAATTCTACCTTTCTTTCTCCCCCTTCCCAAAGTTGTAGCATATCACTGTTAGTCATGTCAAGAGCAACAAGATTACTTCCTTCAAATGTTTGGGGTAAAGACCTAAAAGGGTAACTGGTCCAACGCAGAAAGCGTAAACCATCTGGAAAATATGGGCTGAGGCTGACTTTATCAAAACTCCAATTACAACACAGAAATCCTAAACCATTTAGAAAGTTTGGCATGATTTTATTATCTTCCAAACTCGAGAAAAGATTTTCCACATCAAGAAACCGCAATTCCTTCATCTTTCTAAGACCTTCCATAACAATTTGTGGACTGAGTCTCCCCTGGTAGAATTGCACACACCTTGTTGCTTCAGTACCCTGTAACCAAAAAGTAATCACAATGAATTTTGTCAAAATCTAATGAAAATGTGTGTTAGTTTCTCCATCTTAGATATAAACTAGAACCTTACCAAGTCATTAGCCAATATATCTTCAATTTCCTTGGTATCCCACAATCTGCTATGTTTGTTAGGCATATCGGGATGTGAACGACGAACAATATTCCTGCCCATTTCTTCTAAATGATCATGCATGCCCAAACGCTCACTATCAATAGTTACGAGAGACTTTTGCTCAAGAACTCTTAAACCAATTCTAGCATGAAATCCACAGCTTTCAAGTGCTTGAATTATAAAGTCTTTCCGCCAACCTTTCAGTATGGTTGCAACATCTAGGAATATTTCCTTGTAATCGTCGTCTAGACCAATATAGCTTAGTTCCAACTTTTTCTGAGTTTCCTGTAACGGAATTGTTTTTAGTCTATTTAGGGCATCTTCCCATTCAAGCTTACTTTTACCACAGAGAAATGAACCCAAAACTTTGATTGTTAAAGGAAGACCAGCTGCATAACATACAACTTTTCCACATGGCTCTTCGTACTCTTGATATGGAAAATCTCTCCCAAAGGCATACATACTAAAGAGCCAAATTGCTTCCTTATCTGATAGCAGATTGACATGATGAATCAACTTCACTCCATGTGCTACCAACACTTGCTCATCTCTAGTTGTAATGATAATTATACTTCCCGGCTTAAACCAACTACGGTCACCAGCTAATGCCTCAAGCTGGGCTACATGATCCACATCGTCTAGAACAAGAAGAGTCTTTCTACCACCCATCATCCAAGACATCATGTTTTTCCCCTCGGAAACACTACCTATGTTGATGCCATGATTATTCAAGACATTTGAAAGGATTTGAATTTGTAATGGCTTTAAACCAGACAAAGGTGCATTTGAAACTTCCCTGACATTCTCAACAAAACTTTTCCCTTCAAATTGAAATGATATTTTATCAAAAATGGCTCTGGCCAAAGTTGTCTTCCCACCACCTCCTATCCCCCAGATCCCGATCATGTGAACACCATCAGAAGCAGTTCCTAAAGATGATATAATATCCTTGATCCGAATCTCCATGCCTACTAAGTTTTTATCGATGCTGACATTGATGGCACGTAACTCTAGTGAAAGCTTTTCAACAATTTGTCTAATGAATTTAGCTTCATGCCTGTATAGTAGAGAAGATTCAAAAGCCACATATAAAGCAATTACTTTCATATCTAAAACTTACAAATACAGATGGGGTAATAACATCATAATATAACCATATTTCATGTTTAATCTTTTAATAAGACTCAAGGACTGAGTTAGGATTTAAAAATCCAATATAAGAGGCATGTACGAGGCCTTTATATCCAAGGTAAACGTAGATTAGAAAGAAACAAAACGAAAGAATATTGTAGAGATATGATAAAAATTACCCATCAGCAGTGTTCTTCAACTCCCAACCAGCCACATCAGCTGCTTCTTTCAAAGCCTTTCTCCATTTCCCAGCAGCCTCTTCCTTTTTGTGTCTGGCAAAGGCTTCTCCGACTGCCCTGGTCTGATTGCGGATTTCAGAGGGTTCCACATCATAGAATACGGGGTAAACAGTATGCTCGGTTGACTTATGACACTCCATTATCTTTGCAAGCTCATTCAAGCACCAAGATGAAGACGCATACTTCTTGGAGAAAACAATGATGAAGAATTTTGAGTCTTCAATGGATTCCATGAGCTCATCACTGATCCTTTTCCCTTTTTCAATTCTCTCGTCGTCCTTATAAGTGGAAATGTTTTTCTGCTGAAGAGCATAATAAAGATGATCGATAAAGCTTTTACGGGTGTCTTCACCTCTAAAGCTCAAAAATACATCATACTTAAAGCTCTTGTGAACGGATGAAGTTGAAGAAGATGCCATTGATGGTATGACCGCAGGCTCCTGTAAATTCAAATGTTTGTTGGCGAATTTTATAAGAAACAAATGCAAAGACAATTGTACGAAATGAACTGAATATAATATCGTATATTTAGAAGACAATGGTTGAATGATAACGTGTATGCAGAAAATTTGGAATTAGGAGAAAGCTTTTGATAAAAGAAAAGACTATGAAATTTCTTATTTAATGAAAAAAAATGCAATTACGATGCTTTCTGTTATATATTGTTGTATATTGTCTGAGTTCATTAATTCTTCAAAGTATATGTCTTCTGACATTTTTTCAAAAATGATGTTTACTTGCAATGAAAAGGTCACATTTTATTAAACATTATACTTGAAAATAAAAACACTGGTACTAATTTTATAAGTATAAACAAATTTGAACAAATATGTTAGAACATCCATAATAAGGGCCTTTTGGGTCAAATAAGCTATAAATGATATGTATCATATTAACACATAAGTATTAATCTACAAATGATATGAGACACGATCAAATAGTGTGGTCACGAAACACTACAAGATACATTACAAAATATTGTTTGAAGCAAGCCATGGTGAATTGTAGATAAGTATTAGACAATGAGTCAAAGAGAACCAATGAGCGTGACCCTAACATCTCAACACATAGAAGGCTATAATTTGATCAAAATCAAATAACAACCCTTTTCACATACGTGTTTCCAGTATCACGTAATTATATTGACCACATTCTTTATTGCAAAAAGAACAGACTAGAAAGTTTAATTAAATTCACAACCGTTTATAATTAATTAACACACATTTTTAACATAGCAGATGGTAGCAGTAGATTAGTATTAACAAAATAAATTGAATCACGATAACAAACCAGTCACTGTGAAAGATTGAGAGAGTCAAAGAAAGTGACAGATTGATAGAGTCACTGAGTATAAAAAACGAGGTTAGAGTTATAAATTTTTACTTACAGGAAAATGAGAGAGCGGGAAGATTTGGGGCTGCTTTCTTTTGCAGAGGCTGACGATTTGGGGCTGGTGTTGCAGAGGAGAGGAATATAGAGCAATCGATGAAGTAAAGTGGAGAAATATAGAGCAAAGAAAGTCAAGGAAATCGACGACTGTCGTAATTCTTTTTTGACTTTGAAAAAGACTTTTCTCTTTGCATGTGCTCACCACAACATTTGAGAGCCTACTTTACAATAAAAAATCAAAATCCAGCTCATATTACAGTTTTTAACTAAGGGCTTCTGTTTTAGAAAGGTATTTTCAAAATATTGTGTTAAAAATTTTATTTATCTTTTAATTGCACTTGTATTTATAAAAAAGAAAAAAAACAAAATAATAAAACAAAATAATAAAACAAAATTGCAAAAAGACTAAACTGCACAAATGGTCCCTGTGGTTTGTTCAAAATTGTCACTTTGGTCCAAAAATGTTTGAACTAACACTACAGGTCCAAAGTTTTCATTTTGTTGCGAGTTTGATCCGATTTGTTTTGAATTTTTTTTAAATGACGAGTTTGCCCTTCATTTTTCATTTTTTATTTTTTTTATTTTTTATAATGACTTTAATGTTTTCTAATTAAAAGAATAATAAAAATAAAATTAAACCCTCAACGCCTCACCCTTCTATTCTATTCCTTGCTACTAGACCCCTTCTTCCCCATTCTTCATCGTCAACCAATAAAACCACCACCACCGGTCAGCAGCGCTGCCACCGGTCAACCCCTAGAAGCATCACCGGTTACCACCGCCACCATCCTTGATTTTTCGGTCAACGACACCACCACCGGTCAACACCTCTCGCTCTCTCTCTCTCTCTCTCTCTCTCTCTCTCTCTCCCCCTCCCTCCCTCCATCACTTGCCGGTAAAATGCGAACAACCACCACTTCCACATGCCGAAGCCGCCACCATACCTCTCTCTCTCTCATGATCAAACCACTCTCTTCTCCAGATGAATACACAGACAAAATTTAGAAATTTAACATACAAAAACGCATACAAAATCCAGAGATTTCTAACACCAAATACATGCATTTGTTCAAGATTTGATACATGAACCAGCTAGGGTTTCGAAAAACTTGATGGGCGGCTCCACCGCCGGTACCTCAACCAACTTTGAAGCTCCAGATCTGCAACATCTCTACAGCGCCGCCAACAACTCTGTCGAAGACGACACCATCGTCTGGTGTTACCTTCTTGCGGATCTGAAAACACAATGAAGATTTGTTCGAACTCGTCGCTCCAATCAATCGTTCGCCGTGGTTTAGATTTGACGACGACTAGGGTTAGGGTTCCCAAACGGTGGTGGAGGCTTTCACATACGAGGGTTTTCCTGTCCGACGTTGGTGAAGGCTTTCAGATCTGAGGAACGGTGAAGCGCAGGAGAAGTAGAGAAACGAAGGCGGCGAAAATTTGGGGTTTGCTGAGGAAGATGGCATCCGACCTCCCTTCTTCGAGTTCCAGATCTGGGTGGCGGTGGTTTTGAGTTGTTAGGTGGTGGCTAAATGGATGGCACCGATGGTGGTGCTCCGGCTAAATGGGTGGCACCGACGGTGGCGCTCTAGTAGCAAAAGAAAAGAGACAGGGAGAGTGTTAGTATGTTAAAAGTGAGAGGGTGGGTTGAAGGTTTAATTTTATTTTTTTATTTTTCTTTTAATCAGAAAACATTAAAGTAATTTAAAAAAATAAAAATAATAATAAAATAAAGGGCAAACTCATCATTTATAAAAATTCATAAAAAATCGGACCAAACTCGCAACAAAATGAAAAACTTTGGACATGTGGTGCTAGTCCAAACTTTTTTGGACCAAAGTGACAATTTTAAGCAAACCACAGGGACCATTTGTGCAGTTTAGTCTTGCAAAAATGATGCTTGTTAAAATTACGTGGGTTTGGTCCAAAATCGGTTTATGGTGGGTAAGTGGTCCGATATTAGATTTTTTAGTGGTTTTAGTCCCTATGCATTTGAAATTATTTTTATACCCTTATAGTTTATATATTCTTTTTTTTAATTGCAAAATGTATTAATTAAATTAATTTAACTTATGTTTAACTTAAGACAAAAAAATAAAAACCCAACTCACCCTTTCATCCCTGTCATAATACCAAGGAGGAGAGAATCCAAATCATCACCACCACCCTCCATCACCCATCTCTATAACCAGTGTCGGCGGCCTCCATTTTCATCGGAGTTACCTGGTTCGCCACCATCACCCTATTATATCTCTCTGCCAGACATCACTCAACTTCACTTCTTTCTATCTTTTTCAAAAACACACACAAACACACAGTCTCAAGAACACCCACATTGGAAACCAACGACAATAGGCTGGAAACCCACACCACCAGTGGCCGGAAACCCACACCACCAGCTTCCCTTCTTGCACATCTGTCACCGGTGCATCCTCTGCACTGCAAGCTCCTTCCTCTAAAATCTATGAACCCCTCAGTCTCTTTACTCTGGTACTCTACTTCACTCCCGACTTTTGATTTTGGCTCCTGAAACCAAATTGGAAACGATTTTCAGATCCGATTTTAGTGGAAATTTCGATACATGGACTTTAATTTTGGGATTTAAGTTTATCATGAAGCATTGTTGCAGTGAAACAAATCGACCATAAACAACTCCATAAATCTGGGTGGAGGTTAGTGCAGGCAGAAAAGGAAATGGGCGAGATGGAGGTTTGGGATGACAACCTTCTTGAAGGCGTAGTGTTTGGGATCGATTTGTAGGTCCATTACTTGGCATCGTTTTGCAGGTCCTCTACGAGACATCGATTTGCAACCCCTGTCTCACCTTCAAAATCAGTAGGTGTATGGTATAAATCGATCTCGTTCGTCGGTACTAGAGGAAGAAGGAGGGCGACAGAGGCTGGTGGCGGCAGAGTGAGTAACGGAGGCCAGTGACGGCACAGGGAGCTAAGGTCGCCGGTGTATGAGTGTTTTTTTGGTTGGGTTTTACAGGAAAGAAAGGTGGAGTCGTAGAGGGAAGGGATTAGAAGGGTAGGGTGGGTGGGTTTTATGTTTTGGTTTTTTAATTAAAATAATAAGGAATTAATTAAAAGAAATAAAAAAAATTATTGAAGGGCATATTGGTCTTTTCATGTAGGATATGGATCAAAACCACACAATAATGTGAACCATATGGATTAAAACCACACAAGATATCTAAAATGGACCATTAATACACCACCAAACATTTTTGGATCAAAACCACATAATTTTGATAAACACATGGATCATTTTTGCAATTTTGTCAAATAATAATGACCTTTCTTTTTCTCACCTGATTTTCTTCATCATCTCTCTCCTTCCATAGATTGTTGTACATACACGTACCACAAACATTATCACCGGAGGGGAGGGGTTGAAACCAAAACTTTGAGACAAATTCACAATAAAATATAAACATGTTTAATTTGTTTCTAAGTTATTACAAAATTATAAAAACTATTATCTTATATTATACTATAAAAAACATTTTAGTCATATTTTAAATTTTAAGAGATATAAATTACAATGTTTTTATACAAATCAATTATATATAAATAATTCATTAATACTTGTAAATGTTTGAATATTTGTATTAAGGAAAGTAATTAAGAAATTCAATTTGAAGCCAATAAAAAGTTTAAAATATTAAATCAATGTATATAGATTAATTTATATTTTTTTAAATTAAACACCAATATTAATTAATTTACATTAATAATATAAACATAAGGTATAAACAAAAATATTTTATTTAAATTGGTAATTTTTTATTGAAAAAACATCATAAATGGTCTCTATGGTTTCCCAAAATCTGAAGTTTAGTCCCCGTGGTTTAAAAACGTCATAGATGGTCCCTGTGCTTTCAAAACTTTTGACGATCAATCTTTATTTCTAACACCGTTAAGTTTTTGTCCGTTAACTGAATGATATTTTCATCATTTTACTACCGCAGAGACCATTTATGATGCTTTCTCTTATTTTTTAAAAAAAAAAACTGAAATAAAATGCAAAGGGGTCGCACTCACTCACACGCGCGCACGCACACACACACACACACTTTCTCTCTCTCTCTCTCTCTCTCTCTCTCTCTCTCTCAACAGAGATGAAGATCTTGGGATGAAGCCTATGAATATATGGGTTCGGATTCATCATACAAACATATCTCTTTGTAACACCACAATAACACAAAATAAAAAACCAATAAAGCCAAGAATCCAAATTTCTGGGTTTGCTCTTCAACATACACACTGTGACAACCGTCAAATTCTGGTCAATTCAAAGTCAAATAAAGTCAACAAGTCAAACCGGTCAACTCAACTAACCCTTGCCCTCCCTTCGCTTCCTCGCCTCCCTTCGTTTCCCTCTATTTCGCTTCATTTCGGATTCAGTCCACAGCAAGGACCGAACCTCGGCCTAGGACCGAGAGGTCTCGCTGGAAACCCATTCTCTCCCGGTTTTCGCGTAGTTTTGCGTTTAAGGCCCGTTTTTAATTATTTTAACGCGGGATTTTCACCTAAAATCATATTTTAACATAATAAACCCTAAAATTCACAATTTAATCATATTTCCATGAAAATCTTTATTTAAATAATAAAAGCTAGTGGGTAAAGTACAAAGAGGTGGAGTGTTGACTTTGCTTTACCTTATGACACAAGCAACCACTCCCACATCCACTCTATGACCAGCCACACCTCCCCACCTTACCTAGGTCACATCAATGTCCTTTACACTCAATTTCCACTCATTCCCACGTTTTTAGAGCTGGAACAAAACACCTTCTCTCTTCATTTCTCTCATTTGCTCTCATTTCACTAAGTATCAAACACCACTTTTCTCTCAAACTTTTTCTCCACCAAATTCGAGATTCAAGGCTGATTTTCAAGTGTTCTTCCACATTTGGTAAGCATAATTCATTCTCCTTATGAATATCTCACTTATTTCCACTCAAATCATGGATATCTTACACAAACTCCATCATAATTGTGTTAGAGTTTCGAATCTTCAAGTGTTATTGGGTTGAACACTTCTCTTCTTCAACACTTATCTACTGAAATCACTCAAGGTGAGTTCATACCCCTACATTTTAATGTTTTCTCAAGTTTTTAAGGGGGGAATACAAGTTAAAACACCAAGAACATAACTAAAATTTTCTAACAGCCTTCATCAGAAAATTTCAACTCCATTCACGGACTGTTTTGGGCATCTTAAACATTTTTGTTTTCAAAAATGTTTTAGGTGCAAGTAGTTCCACTTCTTAGTTTTAAAATGACTACTTGCAGATCTCCACACGATTTTTCTACAATTTATGATGATTTTTAAAACACAACCTGTCTTTTCAAACACAAATCCGGACCAGTCTGTGAATATGAGCATTTTAAGACAAGTTAAAGGCTTCCAAAAATCATGATAAAAATTATGAGTAAAGTAGACTCATTTTAGGAACTCTCAGAATTTACGGATCTAGTTTTTGACTTCGTATGATTTTTCTATGATTTTTCTAAAACAGTGTAGAAAGATTAAGAATTAGTTAACAGCTTCTAACTAACAAAACACTTTGTAACATGTTGAGCAAAGTGTTAAATCTTTGATAAATTCATATATACCATGTATTTCTTGTTATGATATATTTATATAATAGGAAATTACTTACTAAATTTATAAGAATCCTCCATCATAATCATTAGTACAAAACAAAGCAAGTTAAACATAGCTATATGGTACTATACATTTGACTTACATAGAATGGGATTCTTAAACACCACAAAGAAACATAATAAACTATAATAGGTATAGTTAGGGTACATATACATTTCAAACATTTTAATAAACTATAATAGGTATAGTTTATGATCATTTACACAACATACTCGTACAAAAAGGGGTACAAATACAAAGTGTCGGGTTTATATATAAAAAGGGGTACAAATACAAAGTGTCGGGTTTATATATAAAAAGGGGTACAAATACAAAGTTCCGGTTTTTATACGAAAAGGGTACAAATACAAAGTTCCGGTTTTTATACGAAAAGGGTACAAATACAAAGTGCCGGTTTTTATACAAAAAGGGGTACAAATACACAGTGCCGGGTTTATATACAAAAGGGGTACAAATACAAAGTGCCGGTTTTTATACAAAAAGGGGTACAAATACAAAGTGTCGGGTCTTTATACAAAAAGGGAGTACCGATACAAAGTACCAGGTTCACTTAAAATAGTTATTATGATATTAAAACTATATTTCATCTAGAATCGTTAGACTTCAACTATAATTGCTGAGCGTATATGTTTGAGTCATATAAGAATTTAGTCTTGATTGGCTTAGAATTGGTGGTGCCCGCCTCATCTCTTGTTCCTCGTTGGGTTGTGGACCTAGGGTAGACCCACTATATTCAACGTTTTATCTAATTTAAACCTTATATAACTTATATACGCTTGACAATTATAGAGGAACTCTACGGGTCATTCTAGGGTTCATTAATGCATCATATAGGAATATTTCTATTCACACTTAACTAAGAAAGTATTGGATTTTCTGGAAATCAAACTATATTGATTTTACAAGGAAAACGGTTTCTACTTCAAACAAAACTCTTATGAACTCACCAACTTAATTGTTGACACTTTTCAAAACTACTTGTATTCTCAGGAAATCAGTGAAACAGGAAAACTTCATCGCTTTGAGGATGGGACGTTAAATCGTCAACAATTTATTTTTGTCATCATAATGTAATTGATTTTGAATCATGTAAACATATACTTTGGTGTAACTTTTTCAATTATATTTATGTTGGTTGTATTTACTTTGAGCACTATTATACACGTTGTTGTGATACTGTACATGAAGTCCTCCACCCCCGGACGTTTCCGCCATCCTTGGTTTGGGGGTGTGACACACACACTCAAGAACACAAAATTTGAATCACATATTTGATTTTGTGGGTTTTCGCTTCACACACACACGATTCTGAATCTTAAAACCGATTTCATCGAGTCTGAAAAAAAATCGATTTTCTGGGTATGTTCCTGAAGAGTTTTCAAGAATAATCGTTTTTCTAGGTTTGTTTCTAGGTTTGTTTTTGGAAATAAAAATCAAATTTTGAAAATGAAAAAAACTTATAGACTTTTAAGAGCAATCGATTTCTAAAAATCACCAGATGGAGGAGACGAGAACAAACAGACGTGCAAACTTCTGTTGCTCTGGTTTGTGAGACGGACAACAGCCACAACGGCATCTGAAGCTCCAACAATTGTGGTAGCAACGCCAATTATGTGTTTGCTTTTTGTTCCTTTTCTATCTCCGACATTTAAGATCTCAACCAAGTGGCATCACTTTCTGTTGCCGATGATTGATTAAACTTAGACATCTTCACTGGCGCCGGCAATTGGGATTCCTTCAAGGGTTTTCTGAAGCTCCATCAGTTCTTGTCTTTACACTTACCTGAATGGAAATTCTGAGAGAGATAGAGAGACAAATAGAGATTTAACCACAAAACACAAAGAAAAAACCTACTGTCGTCATGTTTGACTTTCCGATGATCGAAGATCTCTTCATGTTGAATATCGGCTTATCACCTTCCATCCTCTCACCTAAAAAACCCTCCCACCGTTGATGTAGACTTGGTATCTGTTAATTGTTAATCAATAGGTTATTGAAATCGTTGACATATGGAAAGTAAATATAATTGGAATCGCTGACTATGGTGTGAAACAAGACTTTTGGAGCTACAGATTCAAAAAATGATATCTTTTCGTGGATTTAGACCACATAAAATATGGAAAATG